TGGGGTGTTCACGACCACTTGCGGTCATTACGCACTTGTGCGTTCACGCCCCTTGCGGCGATCGTCTCACAGTCTCATCAACCGTTCATCAAGGAAAACAAAATACGCGAACCCCCCACCCCCCCAATTCTCCGACGTAGCCAGCCCTCTTGTGGCTTCGACGCACACGCTACTTCAGCCACAGAGTCCTGGACATGTCTATCAGAACTTCCTTGGGGGTGGGAGTCGCTAAACATATTCCCCGGGGCGGTCACCGCTGCCGCCCCCGGGGCGGTCGCCGCTGCCGCCCCCACAGGGCGATTTCAGCAAGTTTCATTATGAGTCGCCAGTTCGAACTACGAGTTGTCGATTCGACTCTCGGGGCCGCAGCCGTTGCTGCCCCCGCCCCCCCCCCTCGGGTTCGTCAAGCGCCCGCCGTTTAAGTTTCGGGCGCTCATGCCTAAGTGAGGGTGTGAACGGGACTACGCCCCTCCCTGAGAACGAGCAGGGGAGGCCCCCCTACCTACCTACCTACCTACCTAGAAATCACGACTCTCACAGTGATTTGGGCTCGGCAGCTTGTCAGCCTTCTAAATAAAATCTCTCTCTCCCCCCTACCTACCTACCTACCTACCCCCCTACTTATGGGAAAACTAAAAAATAAATCATAGGACGGGTGAAGGTGGGGTACTATACCAACTAAGAGGAAGAAGCGACAAGGGAGAGAACGACGAGAGTGGGACGACCGCGAGGTGGCATGAAGGTTGCAGCGAGAATCGGCGAGAGACTGCGAAGGGAGATAGGAAGAGGTTTACTTATACCAACTAAGTGATGGCCGGTGGTACTCTCCTGCAACCATAGTCCTTCCTGTGACATGGCAGGCCACTCTCAAGCCCTACAAGCACCAGATCACCTCACTTGGGGAGGGTTGACATCGTGATCGTTGCGGAAATTTGCTTTTTCTGCCGTGAAGTTTCCGGCGTGAAGAGAGGGGGAAACCCGACGGGAGGGCCCAGACCTACCCTACCTACCCCGTCATGCTGGCCGCCCCAAGCAAAAAAAGAATACATCCGGGAGCCGAGCAAAGGTTGGGAGCCGAGCAAAGGTTGGAAGTGTAATTTGGATGGCGTCACGCTTGCACGCACTCTGCAAAGGGCCCCTCCAGTCTTTTCGCACCTGCTCGAGCCATAAGACTTGCACGAGGTGGCCGTGCACGTGTAGTTGTATTGAGTAATGCGCTCTTCTTGCCCAAAAGCGCTAGCCTACTCCCTCGGTCCCTGTATCGGCGCCGCCGATGCGACGCCGATACTGACGAAACCTATCCCCGGTGGTGGGCGCTGAGCCTCCCCCACCACACTAGAACACCACGGGGAACACCGATGGCACACGACACACCCGGGGCGGGACAAGACTAGTGAAGTCGTCTTAGCTTGGACAAGACTCATCAATCGATGGAACAATCGAATGTAAATTCAGTCGCCGGCGTGGGCGGGCGGGGCGACTGAATAGATGCGGAGGCCGGCTGCCTGATAGGCGAGCGAGGCCATTGGCGTTCGCCTGTATGTGCGGACGCACGAGGAGAGAAGCAATCCAAATTTTGGCAATCGATCCATGAGCCGTATTCATTATGTCATTAGTAATTCACACCGCCCTCCACCGGACTCCGGGTCGTCCCCTGCCGATGCCGCCGCCGCCGAACCAACTGCTCGCAAGCGAGAGCGGGAGGGGCAAGAGGAGGTACTCGTGGACCTACAGCTCTTGAGCCAACTCGTCGAGGAGGGCGAGCAGAGCTCCGCCGTTTTTGCGGGCGTCGGCCCGCCTCTGCCGCATTCCGCAGCTGCGGAGGCGGATCCGGTGGCGGCGGCGGCGGATCCGGCGGCGTTGATTGGGCCAACGGGTTCGGAGGTGGGCTCGGCGTTCGCGGATAGCATGGGGCCAGTTCTAGAGTGGCTGCACTGGACAGTCGCGCTCATCTGCAAGTAGGCGCCGCGCTATGTCTCTCGGTTCGTCTGCCGCTTCGTCGGGTGCGGCAAGGACTACGCGTCGGCCGATAGGGTGCGTTCCCATTGCAGGTACAGCGGTGTGGCGCCCGCATCCCCCCCCCCCCCCCCTCCAAACCACGAAAGAAGGAGCACCCGGCCTGGCTGAACAGCCTTCCTGCCCGCAAGCCGTCCCTCTTCTGCAAACAAAAGCAGGCCGAGATCGCACCCTCCGTCTCGACCTCGCCGGTCCCAAACAAGTATCTGCACAAGGGCGAGGGCGGCGCACGCACGGCGCCGCCGTCCTCGCCCCCCTCCGGTTCGGCGGCGCACCCAGCGCGGCCGCGCCGCCACCATGCGCTGCGGGCAGCACGCCCGCCGCGGCCTCGGGCAATCCGCATCCCGCCCACGAAACGGTCAAAACGGCCGACACAGTTAACACAACCGCGGGCGCGGCGTGAGCCCCTGGCATCAATGGGCAGAGTGAGGCGAGATCTCGCTGGGATCGAAATAGCACGGCCTGCACGAGCGACGACCGACGAGAGGTTCGCCGTTCGGAGAGACGAGACCCCGGGGGGCGGCGCTTCCTCGCGAGTCCCGAGTCGCGGAGCGCCTGCAAGACGGAAGACCACACACCGAGTACAAGTGATGGGACTCGTGACTGGGAAAGTGCTATCCAGTCTGCGATGAGTTCTGAGACTGGAGGTACAGTAGCGCTGCATGTCGATGAACGATGTGTCCTGTGTGCTGGCGCGGTCACGTGTGCCGCGCCCAAATGTTGCGTTTTGGCCATGGCGGCACTCGCTTCGCTTCAACTTCAGTCCGAGAAGGCCGCGGGTGACCGCGAGCCTGTGCAGGCGGCGGAGCGCTCGTTCATCGAGCGCACCGCGTCGCGGAAGGAGAAGCCGACGGAGGAGCAGAAGCAAGCTCGGGCCGCGGCTCGCAGGGCCAAAAAGGCCCGGCAGAAGGCGAACAGGGCGGAGAAGGCTGCGGCGGCGGCTGCGAGCGAGGCCGAGCGTGCGGACTACCCGCACGCGCAGCTACGCGAGAACGTCGAGTTCGTGATGGACGGCCTAGACCCCCATGGAGGACCTTTGAGGCCCTCCCCAGTCTCACCCCACCTTACCTCTGCCCCCCCCTCCCCCCATCCCTCTGCCTCCCATAGGGCAGGATAGCACTAGCATATGCGCCTAGTGCGCACACTGGGCCCACATAGATGTGACCCGCCCACTCGAGTGCGGCGCCCAGATGCTAGTGCTTGAGAGGACACCACAAACGCGGCACGGCCCGTTTTGGATGTCTGCGGAGATTCTGTCTTAGCACACACAGTGAGTCATTCGGAGTCATTCGATGGCCAGAGTGCGATTGTGTGTGTGCGGGAGTTGGTTTGTCGGGAGGGAGGGGCAGGCTGCTCACCCACGTGCACCGGGCCAGTGCTTGCACTTTGAATGCCGTGGGGCTCCTGCCCGTGTCCGGGTGTGGAGATGCGAGGGTCGCCCCCCCTTGCCCCACCACTTTGTGTGTGTGGAGAAATTTACCTTACCTTACCTTACCTTAGCCCCATTGCCGATCATGGCGGTTTCTCAAGCAAGTTCTGCTCCGTTTTCGGCAAGTTCTGCTCCGCCAGCAGCGACATCGCGAGATGTCGGCGTCGCTGCTCCCTCTCCTGTCACACGCCGTCATCTACAGGAACGGCCGCCCTAAGGGCACGCCCGTTCCAGCCCCAGCAACGCCCACGCCCGATCGAGCCGCGCACGATGCGAACGACATGGCGATGGAAGCCGGCATGCTGCACCCCAAAGGTCCCAACCTGGTGCCCACGGCGAACGCCGTTGTCGGCGCGTGCTGGGAGGGCACCAAATGGACTTGTGCGAGGTCATCACTGATGGCGAACCCTATCGACAATATCCATGTCGACTGGCCGTACCGTCTTGTGGGGGCTCCTGTCGACGTATGGCTGTGGTGGGCGCCGCACCACAGAAATTGGGAGGAGTGGCGCTACCTCCCAGTGCTGATGACCATCGCCTCGGCGTTGTCACGACGGAACTACTCCGTCGCGTACACGGACGCATCGCGAACACGGGACGACATCGTCGCCGAGGTCGTTAGGCACGGCAGCCCGGTTGTCGTGCTCTTCGGCTATTGGAACGCAGTGCCGGGGACGCGCGAGATTGTCTCGCGTGCCGTCGCCAAGGGCGCCCACCTCGTGCTCTACAATAGTGAGCCACTGGGAGTGCTCTACAACAGGCAACCACTCGCTCACAACAAACACATTCTCGCAACAAAAGAGCTGTACAACGCCTCGGAGCTCTGGGATTACTCGCTGGCGAACCTGGAGTGGCTCCGGCCGCACGTTCAGCTGACGCTGCGACACGTCCCTCCCAGCTACGTCCCCGATTTTGACCTCGGCGTGCAGGCGACCAGGCGAGGCGTGGGGGTCGTGGGCACCCGGCCGCCACCTAAAACGTACGCCCAAAACACCGCGCTGCTCTGGCACAACGTGACACAGGCGGAGCTGCAGACGTGGGCCGACATGCGACAATTTCTCACGACGCACCCGCTCCAGCTCGTCTTTCATCGCGTGCCACAAGGCAACCTATGCCCCTTCGAAGCGTTTCGCGGCGCTGTGCTCGCCTCAAACCGCGCTTGTATCGTCGCCCAGGACTCGCACCCACTCGACCAGCATTACTGGGCCGGCATCGTCCACTTTGCGCCCACGCCTGCTGACCTCCCGCGTATTGTCAACCGCTTCATGAGCGACCCGGCGCTCCTCGCCGACTGCCAGGCGCTGACCTACAACGCCTTCGTCACGAACCACACGGCTACGGCCGCCCTGGAACAGGCCGGCGTCTTGAACCTCCTTACGCGACGAATCCAGAAATACCGCCCGCCGAAGTAAGGCCGAGACTCATGTACGGAGCATACGGGCTTTGGAGACTACGGGGCATACCGGCTTTAGAGAGTCGAGAGCAGATGAGAGCGGTGCGGTGCGGTGGGGCGAGCGCACCAGACAGAGGGACGTCCAGAGCCTTTTTGGGCAAGTTAATTGATTCCATGCCTCATGCGCAGCCACGCCTCCGGCGCAAATAAAAAAGCGTTCCGTTTGCTTCCTCGTTCCTCCTGCCGAGGCCCACCCACCCTTTCCGTGAACTAGCCGGGACAGTCGGAGAAGGGGCAAGAGCCCCCCATCCCACTAGCTGGCATTCCCCCGCGGTCCCTCGCGGCTGCGTGACGCCGCACCAATGGCGCGCTGACCTGTGCCTCGTCCGCGAGCGCCATCCAGAGCTGCACCGACAGTCGCTGCAGCGCAAACGGCATGCATTCGCGCGCCGACCACGACGTCTGGTCGTACTGCCACCATGTGAGCTTCCGGCCCGCCACCTCAGCCACCCGCATCAGCAGCTCCTCCACCCCCGCGCTCATTGCGCCGAACTCCTCGAAGAGCAGCGCCTCCACACGGCACTTCCCCTCTCTGCGTCCGTGTACTGGCCCTTGACAGCCTCGACCGTCCCGGTCCCCGTCCGCGGGTCCCACCTCCCCACCCTCCCGCCCCTGTCCCCGCCCTCCACGCCCTCAAAACCGTCCGTCGCGGGCGCGTGGCAGCGTGTTGCCGCAAGCGACGAACTCCCCCATGCGCCCCACCCCCGAGGGGTCCGACGGCAGCCTTGCCAAGGACGCCGCTGGGCGCTGGCGCCGCCCGCCCGCCTGTGCCCTGTCCTCTCGACTCCAACCACGGCGGGACGTCGCTAAGGGCGCGTGAGTTTACTGGATACGATCGAGTTTTTCAAAACACGCACAATGCGGGCACTTCCCTCTCCGTCGGCAGCCACCCTCGACGCTCGAGAGCTCAGCTCTGAGACGATGCGCGGCGCGCCGGCGGCGGAGGCGTGGCGGCAGCGCCGTCCACCTGCCGCCGCACGAGCGTCTGGTACGTGCCGCAGCGCTCCATCAGGTCATCGTGCGAGCCGCAGTCCTCCACGACGCCCTTCGAGAGGACGGCGATCTGGTCGGCGTCGCGCACGGTGGACAGGCGGTGCGCCACCACCTATTGATGTTGAGGAGTCTCGACTACGAGTGAATCACGGTCGACACAAGCGGTGCGCAGCGACCATGACGGTACGGCCGCTCGAGGCGCCGTCGATCGCGTCCTGCACGAGCCGCTCCGACTCCGAATCGAGGGCCGACGTCGCCTCGTCGAGCAGCAGCACGGGAGATGTGGGGAGATGTGGGGAGGTGTGGGGAGGTGTGGGGAGATGTGGGGAGATGTGGGGAGATGTGGCGAGATGTGGGGAGATATGGGGAGGTGTGGGGAGGTGTGGGGAGGTGTGGGGAGATGTGGGGAGATGTGGGGAGATGCGGGGAGATGTGGGGAGATGTGGCGAGATGTGGGGAGATGTGGCGAGATGTGGGGAGATATGGGGAGGTGTGGGGAGGTGTGGGGAGGTGTGGGGAGATGTGGGGAGATGTGGGGAGATATGGGGAGGTGTGGGGAGATGCGGGGAGATGCGGGGAGATGTGGCGAGATGTGGGGAGATATGGGGAGGTGTGGGGAGGTGTGGGGAGGTGTGGGGAGGTGTGGGGAGATGTGGGGAGGTGTGAGGAGATGTGGGGAGATCGCCTCGTCGAGCAGCAGCACGCGCGGCTCCGCGAGCAGGGCGCGCGCGATGGCGACGCGCTGCTTCTGCCCGCCCGACAGCTTGACGCCTGACATGTCTCGGAAGTGTCTCGGACGTGTCTCGGAAGTGTCTGCCCGCCGGACAGCTTGATGCCGCGCTCTCCGACCAGCGTCGCGTACCTATCGGAAGGTTCTGAGAAGGCTAAGGGACGGTTCCAACAGATGCCCCGATGCAGTCCTGGTACCGCCCCACCTGTCGGAAGGTTCCGAGAAGGCTCAGGGACGGTTCCAACAGATGCCGCGCCATCCCGACAACGTCTCGCACCCGTCAGAGAGGCCGCCCACAAACTCGTGCGCGTTGGCGCGGCGGCACGCCTCCTCTACGCGCGCGCGGACGGCGGCGTCGTTAAAGTCGACCCGCCCCCCGCCTTCGCGCGCGCGCGCCGCGGACAAGGAGTAGCCGACGTTCTCCTCGACGGAGAGACCGAAGAGGAGCGGCTCCTGGTGCGCCCATGAATAGAAGGGCTGGTGGGGAGTGGGTAGCCGCGACTCGCCAGCAGCTGAGGGCGTGTGGCGGGGGGCGGCTCCTCTTGCGCCCGCAAGAACTACGCGTGCGTGATTCACTCCTCGCCAGCTAGGGGCGGGCCCCACTGCGCCAGCGCCATCTGGGGCCGCAGCCACGGGGGAGAGGTGGGGAGAGATGGGGAGAGATGGGGAGATTGTTTGGTGTGATTATGAGAATTTGGGAGAGCATGCGAGACATGGTGGAGGTGGCTCAGATCTCAAGGGGAGATGTGGGGAGATGTGGGGAGATGTGGGGAGATGTGGGGAGATATGGGGAGATGTGGGGAGATGTGGGGAGATGTGGGGAGATGTGGGGGGATGTGGGGAGATGTGGGGAGATGTGGGGAGATGTGGGGGGATGTGGGGAGATGTGGGGAGGCAGCCACACCTGGTCGAGGTCCCCCACCCCGTGGCCGTCGATCGTGATCGCGCCTCGCTGCGGGTCGTAGAAGCGCAGCAGCAGAGAGAGGGTTGTGCTCTTGCCGCAGCCGCTCGACCCCACCAGCGCGACCGTCGACTCGGCCTGAGAGTGCGTGCGCGCACAGCCGAGAGCTCAGCAATGCCCCACCCGTACAGCCAGCGCCGCGTGTCGACAAAGCCTTCACAGACAGGGTGAAGCCACGCAGCACGGGGACGTCCTCTGCCGTCGGGAAGGCGAACACGACGCCCTCGAAGGCGATCTCGCCGCGCATCGGCTCTGCCGGCGACTGCCCGCCGCCGGTTGGTAGCCGCGGCTCGCGGTCAAGTAGCTGGAAGATCTTGGTGGCACCTCATTTGGCCCAGGGAGGTGTGGGGAGATGTGGGGAGGTGTGGGGAGGTGTGGGGAGGTGTGGGGAGGTGCGGGGAGGTGTGGGGAGGTGTGGGGAGGTGTGGGGAGGTGTGGGGAGATGTGGGGAGATGTGGGGAGATATGGGGAGATATGGGCCACCACTCGCGGCCCGTCGGCGCCTAGATTGGGAGATGTGGGGAGATGTGGGGAGATATGGGGAGATATGGGCCACCACTCGCGGCCCGTCGGCGCCCCGATGCAGTCTTGGTACCGCCCCACCTATCGGAAGGTTCTGCGAAGGCTCAGGAAGGTTCCAGGAGATGCCCCGATGCAGTCCTGGTACCGCCCCACCTCGAGCGTCTCCGCCGCAAAGCAGCGGACGGTGCGCATCATGCCTACGTGTGGGGGGAGAGATGCTCGAGATCTGGGGAGGTTGCATCTAGCAGCGGACGGTGCGCATCATGCCCACGTGATGACTCCCATACCTCCAGAGTACCAAACCCAAGTGTGCTGTGCGAGAGGCTTGTGGTTTAAGACTACCAGGGCCCCGTGCCTAGCGACTCAGTCGACGCGACCGACGCGCGGGCGAGCGCAGCCTGGTACTGCTTGGTGAGGCGGGACACGAGCCTAGGGAGATGAGGGGAGATGTGGGGAGATATGGGGAGATGTGGGGAGATATGAGGCGGGACACGCGCCTCGGGCAAACGGGGAGATCGGCCGAGATTAGCCCAGATTAGCCCAGATTAGCCGAGATGGTGAGGCGGGACACGCGCCTCATTCCGGGCAAACGGGGAGATCAGCCGAGATTAGCCCAGATTAGCCCAGATTAGCCGAGATGGTGAGGCGGGACACGCGCCTCATTCCGGGCAAACGGGGAGATCAGCCGAAATTAGCCGAGATTAGCCCAGATTAGCCGAGATGGTGAGGCGGGACACGCGCCTCATCCCGGGCAAGCAGACCAGCACGAGCCAGCCAAGTAGCGAGAGGAAGGCGATCAGCGTCATCTGCCAGCTCACTATGAACCTGTTCACAGCCGGGGTGTGTGAAGAGAGGGTAGCGATCAGCGTCATCTGCCAGCTCACTATGAACCTGTTCACAGCCGGGGTGTGTGAAGAGAGGGTAGCGATCGGGGCCCTCGGCCAGCGCACGGCTATGAACATGAGCGTGACGCCGCCGACGACCTTGACAATGCCGATGAAGAAGTCGTTGAGCGACGACGTCGTGGCCTGTGGGGAGATATGGGGAGATATGGGGAGATACGGGGAGATATGCAGAAGTCGTTCAGCGACGACGTCGTGGCCTGTGGGGAGATATGGGGAGATATGGGGAGATATGGGGAGATATGGGGATATGAAGAAGTCGTGAGGCGAGGACGTCGTGGCCTAGGGAAGTTCGCTCAGGAAGTGTGGCAGCCCTGTTGGCTGGGTGTCTTGTCTTGTGGTTCCGTGTGTCGCTCCTTGTGTGTGACTGCCACCGCCCGTCAGTCATTGGTCGGACTGTGTTTCGCCTTCCGACCTATCTCTCTATCGTGGCCTGCTGCAGCAGCAGCGTGTCCGAGCCGAGCCGCGAGACCAGGTCCCCGCTCTTCTGCGCGTCGAAGAAGCCCATCTCTTGCCGCAGCAGGTGCTCGTACAGCCGCCGCCGCAGCCGCGAGACGACGCGCTCGCCCGAGAGACCGGTCGCGAAGCCGGAGAGGAAACCGAGTGCCTGGCCGGCCACGTGCAGCGCAAGCACCCACGTGAAGGTGCGGAGGATGACCTCCCGCGTCGCGTCGCCCCGCTCCTCGTGGCCGTACGACTCCACCACCGCGTCGTACGCTGTGGCGAGGATGAGCGGGCTCGCAAATGAGCAGCCTTCGGAGCCGAGGCGGAGGAGCACGGCGAGCAGCAGCACCGGCCTCTCCTGCGAGGAGAGCGCAAACACCTTGCCCACCGTGAGGCCAGGCCGGACCGCTTTGCCAGCGGCGGCCGAACCATCGTCAGAGGCCGCGTCAGGAGAGGCGACTAGCGGTTCGACGGTGGCGCGCGCCGGCCGCGACCACCAGCGCGAGCGGCTGCGAGACGTGTCCTGCTGGCGCTCAGAGTTGATCGGCGCGCTGAGGTCGCGAAATGCTCCTCTCGAGGTAGCACGCATCATCCCGCGGCCTCGCGGTCGGCGGGATTGCAACCAGTCTTCGCGTGCCGCCTGTCGTTCGATTCGGGCGCCTTTAGCGTCGGGGTGGCGAGCAGGGGACGCGGCTCTGAGCGCCCAGCGACGCGTGCCGGATGGAGTCCGTCCGGCCGCGGGTGTCTGAACGGACTCGTGAGGGGCGCCTGCCAACCTCGCTTCGTCGAAGCGGCGCTCGGTACCCACACCCACCCCGCCGCATTCGTCGCCGGCGCGCGACACGTTCCCGTCGGCTGGACTGCCCTCGTCGAGTGCGTGTCGCCAACCAAGGCGGGACGCACTCAGGGACAGTGCCGGCGGGACGCGGCTCGAGAGGCGGCTCCCGCGGAGGCACGGCTGGCACCCGTGGCGCGGGGCTCGTCTTCGGAAAGACCAGGATCGCTCTACTGGCAAACTTCTGGCTGACACGCGCGCCCGGTCGAGCCTTCGGCGGGCGCGCTGCGGTCGCACGCCTACCCAAGTCATATGCCACGGCGTGCGATCTAGATTCAGCACACGCGCCTCTGCTCGCAACCACTCATCCAATGAACTGTCGTCACCCATGAGTGCGAGTTAGGGCTAGCGGCTGGCCAATAGCCTGTGAGGAGGGCGTCCATAGACACCTCACAAGACCCCACACACGGTCTCGTCCGTGCCTTGCGGCCGGCGACGAGATTGCTAGAGGCGGAGCAAGCCTGCTCTAGTCTCACACGTTCGCCCCTGTCGCCTGTCTGTGTTGTTGTGCTGTTGTTTGTCTCTTGGCACCTTGGAGTGCTGGGGGGGGGCGACAGGGGGGACGTCGTCCGCGAGCGCCGTCCAGAGCTGCACCGACAGTCGCTGCAGCGCAAACGGCATCCATTCGCGCGCCGACCACGACGTCTGGTCGTACTGCCACCACGTGAGCTTCCGGCCCGCCACCTTAGCCACCCGCATCAGCAGCTCCTCCACCCCCGCGCTCATTGCGCCGAACTCCTCGAAGAGCAGCGCCTCCACACGGCACTTCCCCTCTGCGTCCGTGTACTGGCCCTTGACAGCCTCGACCGTCCCGGTCCCCGTCCGCGGGTCCCACATCCCCACCCTCCCGCCCCTGTCCCCGCCCTCCACGCCCAGAACCGTCTAGCGGGCGCGTGGCAGCGTGTTGCCGCAAGCGACAAACGCCCCCATGCGCCCCACCCCCGAGGGGTCCGACGGCACACCGGCAAAGATCTTGGTGTCGCCGATGCAGGGCAGGTCCCCAATCACGCCCTGGTAAATGTACAAGTCCGTCCTCGTAGTGCTGTGCTCGCTCGCAGTGAAGTGCTCCACCGCGCCGCGCCCCAGCTTGCCCCGCAGCAGCTCGACAAGGTCCAGGAGGACCTCCTTGTGCCGCGTCTGGTGGCCCGCCGCGCCGTCGT